GTGACCAAAAGAGATGATCAAGTGCTCCGACTTGGAAAAGAAGAAAGAGAAAAACAAAAACCAAGTGTTGATCATGGCAAATATATCAAATAGGTTTTTGTTTTGGCACTCAAGACACCATAGAGGGTGTGAGTATGTTTAGGATCGATAGCCGTACTATAAATAGGGAAATCTTTGGCTAAGCAGTTATCGAGTGCCACTAGGTGGCATAATTCTTGCATATACATTTAGGGACCTAGTATGCTAACAATTAACCCTTGAAAATGCTTGGAAAAATGCTAACACACGGGCACACGTGTTGTACACTTTGTGGTTAGCAACTTGTAAGCAAGGGTGAAGTGTTTGAGGAGATAGAAAAAGAAAAGGAGACGAAGGTCAGTGATCGGACGCTGGACCAGACCCTGGCATGGCGTCCGGTCAAGCACAACAGAGAAGAGCGAGCCTCGGTCGTGTGACCGGACGCAGGTGGCATAGAGTGACCGGACGCTGGGTGAACATGTTCACGCATCCGGTCAGTGTGTTAAGGCGCGCACAGTGCGGAGGAGGAGCAGACCGGATGCTGGGTGCGTCAGGTCATTGTTGACCGACACATCCGGTCAAAGAAAATCCTCTCTGGATGCTTACTAGACTCGACCGGACGCGCTGTGTTCGTGAGTCCAGTCAATTCTTCGTCGAGTCCGGTCACAACTTAAACGTATGAGCGATCGGCTAGTGACCGTTGGAGACAAACGGGTGAGGTTCAAAGCGAGACGCGTGGCGTCCATCGAGTGACTAGACCCTGGCCGACCGGACACTAGAGTGCGTCCAATCAGTGCCTCCGGTCAAGCCCCAAGCTCCCAATGGCTCTCTGAGACTTGGGGGCTCTATAAATAGAAGTGGTTCGCCTTGGGCTCACTCTCTTGCACATTTTCATCAGTGATACATCCTTGTGAGCCTAAGCAAACACCTCCCACTCATCTCTATCATTGATTCATCATCATAGTGAGATTGGGAGTGATTCCTAGTGTATTTGCTTGAGTGATTGCATCTAGTGGCACTTGGGTATAGTTGTGGCTGTGGATTTCATGTTACTCTTGGTGGTTGCCGCCACCTAGACGGCTTGGAGCAGCGAAGGAGCATTGGCATGATTTGGTGATTGTTCATGGCCATCTCTCGGTGATTTGTGAGGGGTCTTGTACCTTCTCCGGCGGAGAGCCTAAAGGTAACTCTAGTGGATTGCTTGTGTCATTGAGTTACCTCACTTTGGTTAGGTTCTTGCGGCGCCTAGTGAAGGCTAGGTGTGGTGCCAATTAGCTGCCGAACCATCAAGTGTTGGTCGACACAATAGGGACTAGTGTGCCGGCAAGCATGTGAACCTCGGGAGAAAAATCGTGTCTCATTGTCTCCATTGGCATTCTCCCGGTGATTCATTTGGTATTCATTGATTGGTTCATCTCTCTTGTCATGGCGGTATAACCATTCCATTCACTCTCTTGTATTTACATTGATTACTTTCTTGCCTAGTCAAGCTCTTTAGTGTAGTTAGTCTTGAGAGCTTATTAGTTTGGTTAGTGAGGCTCTTTAGTTAGTCTTTGAGAGCTCACTAGCTTAGAGAGTAGTGACATAGCCTTTGTGTGAACCTAGAGAATATAAAGAACTAGAATTATGGTATAGGTGGCTTGTAACCTTTGTAGAGCTAGAACAAAATTGCATTTCACCATTTAGGTATCTAATCATTTGCTCTAGTGATTTTGTAGAGAATTTTTATAAGCTATTCATCCTCTCTAGCCATTTAAGACCTTTCAGCATTTGAATGTTATTTATCTGTAGGAGTCAACCTAGTTAAGTTATCTAGATGTATGCCTATTTGGTACTTCATTTTTAGTCAAAGACATATTGTAGTTTTTCTCTGAATCGATATAGAGTATGTAGTATGCTTGCCGTTGCCAACACACCTATGTAGTATATTTTAGCTGAGGGCAAACTAAACTTGGTTGCATGTATGGTTTATGTTTACAGACTAGCACACTGGTGCCTTTTTTTTCTCGAACAACGCAGAGAGAGCTACGTGTCATTTCATTAAGATAGAAAAAACACAAGTATAAAGAGTTAGGCAAAAAGTCAAAGCCGAACACGATCGCACATCCACATCCAAACAACCCACTAGAGGTAAAAGGCTCGCCATAAAAAACTAGAAAAGGCTTGACCAAGGACCCTAGGAAAACTAGAGAACTATGAAGCTGGTGACCCAGTGAGGAGGTCCTGGAGCTTAGAAGCACCAGCCCAACACCATATGGTGCTCTCTGCAGCCACTGTTTGCTGGAGATCCTGAAGGCTTGGCTGCAATCCTTCAAACACACATGAGTTTTGATGCTTCCAAATCTCCCAAGCCACAAGAATGATAAGGGAGTTTAGCCCTTTCCATGTCTCCTTTGGCACCCTTATTATCACGCTCCCCACTAGCTAGAGAAACTTGTTGTCCCTAACACACGTGCTACAACAGCTGGGTTTAATCGTTGTAAACAGAAAAAAAAAAAACCTGCCGAGAGAAAACACATGAGACTAGCAAATGCTGGGTTGTTTCCTCAGCTTGGTCACAGAACGGGTAGGCGGTCGGATGAGGCAATCCCCACTTTTACTTTTGTTCTTTCCACAGTTGAATGTCTCTGATTACACAGAATATTTTGTTCTTTTGACAGTTCAAATGGTTTCCACATGTTCTTACTGTATTTTTCTTGACACGATCTAGTGGTTGGAAGAGTATGAAATGACGGCTGTAAGCTTCTTTCTAGTGTGTGAAAGCCTCCTAGGGTGAATGTTGTTCCTTCGTGAGTGTGAAACCTAAAGCAACTTATAAAAATGGTAATGCTCTGTCCAGGACGTCCGTCCATCCGGACGGACGGCCCGTTGGCGGCCCGCGATGCCCACGAGGCTCTCTTATGCACTCCTATATCCATTCCCCTTCGGGCACCGCAATTTCTTAAAAAAATCTCGCAGCGCCGCGACCGCGCCTCCCACCCGCCTTCCTCTTTGCCGCCGCGCCCGGCCAGCATCCCGCGACTGCTCCGCTCCCCGCGCCATGCCCCCATCCACTTCGCCCGTCGCAGAAGGAGAGGCACGGGAGGCCTGCGCCTGCGCCCCCATCTAGCGCGCCAGTCGGCGGGAAGGGGAGGCCTGCGCGCCGCGTCTGGGGTGTACGTTGGACCATTGCTCTAGACGCCCCCTTACACAAGCTTGCTGGCTACTGGAGTTCCCCACCAGGTAGGTTGTGACCGCCGTCGACGCTTTGTTTCAAGTGTTTCAGGCATTTTAAACTTATATTTCAAATGTTTCATCCGAATGTTGCAAATAGATCTAGGATGTTGCATATGTTGCAAGTCTATGTTTCAAGTGTTTCAGGTGTTTCAGATGTATGTTTTAAGTGTTTCATTTGAATGTTGCATATGTTATAATGTCTCTATACGCATGTTTCAAGTGTTTCACATGTTTCAAACTCATGTTGCAAGTGTTTCATCTAGATATTGCAAAAGTAGATCACGATGTTGCATATGTTGTTATGACTATACACGCTTGTTTCAAGCATATGTTTCATCTTTCATCTGTTTTAGATGTACGTTGTAAATGTTTCATCTGGATGTTTTAGAAGTAGATCTGGAAGAGCACATGCTTCATCTGTTGTAGCCGCCCTACTACTGCTGCCGAGGGTGCCGCCGGGGTCACCGTGCGGGGGCCTGAGGCCGGCCGACACCTCCGCAGCACGCATTCGCAAGCGGGTAGGTGACTGGGACCCACGTGGGGCCTGGGGATGGGCACGGGATGGGCTGCTGGAGCGCGTGATGGGCGCAGGTGCGGCATTCGGACATGGGGGCACTGACGCGGGATGGGATGTGAACTTGAGTCGTGAGATGTGGTGCAGAATAATGCGCGGGAGCTGCGTCCGGACGCGTCGTCTGTTCCGGACGTCCAGGCGCTAGCCCTTCCGTTATAAAAAGGCTACATAATTTATTTGACACATTCTATCACAATATTGTACAACAATTCAATGCTGCAGATAACCTATGATACTGTATGATGAAATCGTGTAGTTAATTGCATTCATCAATCTAAACATGTAAAGCTATTTCATTCATCAATCTAAACATGTAAAGTTGATGTGGCACTCTAGAAAATTATGGGGTCTATTTGATCCCATGAATTGAAACAGATATCTAGAAAGTGTTTCTCAATTCATTATTAGATTACTTTCTAATTTCTCCCAATTTCTCAGAACCAAACACTTCCTAAGATGAAAGTATACATAGAGACTGGCCTTTCCCCGCCAGAGCAATTAGCATGCTCAAATACCACTGTATTCAATGTCTGTATTGAAGTTGTTAGCTATTGGATGGTCTGCTAAAACTAAGGAATTGTAAGAATTGCTACGGCGAAGAAAACGACCCTTATATACAAGGCACCATTGTGCACGCCAGGCAGCCAGGGTTTGTGTTACGGTTCATTTTCCATCAAAGTTATTGCAATTTGTGCAGGAAAACACGAGTACAACACAAAATAGAGCGCGATTATTAAACTGTAATCTTACGAGGGTTTTACGAGTAGCGGTTGGAAGTATGACAAGAATTCAAGAGCATAGAGAATACTGCTGGATACATGTGGATGGAAGACGTCAAGCAAATCGGGAACCAAAAACGATACAAGACGGAATGCATGGCAACAGTTGAAAGAGAGCTGTACCTCGAAACCGCACACACGAGGTCTAATATTATATAGATATAAGACGCATTTGTTTACTTAACACGGCACTACGCCACTTTCAAAGATACATCCCTGGAACCTGCAACAACCCATGCAAGAATTGCAAGGAAGATGCTTTCTGTTGTTCACTGCGGTTCACAGATACAAGAACATAGCATAAAAAACCATGAAGACAGACACTGGCACCAGATGTAGAAGCTGTTTTTTAACCCATAAAACAACTTATCGTTACTGTTGTTGGATCCCATGATGGGCCAGTGAACACTTCATTAGAAGAATGTCCCTTCTGGAGGCTGCACTAACTTTCGATTATGCGAGGCAGCCATCTCTTTCTTGAGCTGGGTTAGGATGTTCTCCATTGTGTAGTCTCGCTGCCAGTTTGCTAGCAAACCAAACTTCTTTGGATCAACCTACATGGATGTACCAATAGGAAAATTAGTTGCGTGAATGCATGCTCAGTTGCTCACACAGGAATGACAAAGACAGAGAAGAGCGAGGCAGTAATTACCACTCCCGTCTCGTGATTAACACATGTCATGTTGATTCTTGAGTGGAACCTGACAGATGGTGGCTTCTCAGGATAGTCCTTGTCACAAAACAACTTAAGCTGGTAGATGCGACCCTCATGTACAGTCTGACAAGAGAGACATTGCAGAAAGTGGAAATAAATTAGATAGCCAAGAGAAGTAACTCTATGGAAAAGACTCTGAGCTGTTAGAGAAGAGCGCCAGATGGTTGAATATTCAATGATTTGCTACATGCCCCAAGCAGTTTTCTTGCTATGTGATGTAAAAAATGGGATATCCACAAATTTATTTATTCATATTTCAGGAGGAAGAATCATCATGGTTAATCATATATATGCATTAATCTACAACCACTGTTGTCACCATCCTTTTCTCCATGCTATTAAAGGTTGAACAGCCATGGTTGGTTGAAACGATTTAATTAGACATGGTACAGATAAAATTTAAGGTTGCATGCGGGTGTTGCAGCAAAGTACTAGTAGTTGACAGTTGAGCATGTCTATATCTTATTAAAAGAAAGGCACAGCAAAGCTCAAGAGGATGAGATTGTGCTCTCACATTGTGAGGGCCGATGATGGTACCAGTCCATGACCGCATATAGATGTCATCTGCATCATCCATTCCATAGCTCACTGACCCATCACCAATGCCCTTCTCTCCACGCTCAAGCTCTTCTAATAGCCTGAAGTTCCGAGGAACTGCATTTTTATCATTTGTCAGTTATGCAAGCAGGTAATGCAATGAATTATACTAGTAATCTACTAAATCAATCTTATATGTTACAAAAACAGGAACTGAGCCTAGCTCAGTTGGTGAGAGATATGGGCATACACCCCACTACCCAAGCTCAAGTCTTCTTTTTGCACAAATTTGGGTGTCTATATCTTAATATTTGCAATGCACCTAGTTCCTCCTATGTTGGTTTAGTTTACTGTAAGGACCTTTTGATATAAAGCAGCAAACAACACTATAGAAAAGCATTGAACTAAAGTAGAATAAAGACATGGGCAAACATAAGGAAGAACAAGATGACTGACACTCAACCTATATGCAGACAAAAAAAAGGAATAGAACACAAAAGTAACCAAACAGGGGTTTAGTAGTTTTAGAATAGATAACATGTCAATATCTTGCACGCATCATTCTTTGTGCAAATCAGTCTGCATAGTTCATTTGAATGAGTGGCCTAAAAAATGAAACATAAAAAAGAAATATCACAGCTCATTTTTGGATTGTATGGAAACATTTTATATTCCTCAAAAGAAAATACAGAGGCCAGGCAAAATCATCTTCTGGTATGTATTGCATAAATAAAGATGGAAAGCAGAACCACCTCTTCTACAAGGAAAAAAAAAGGAACAAAAGAAGTATAGGTTGCACTAGTTATCTCCTATTCATCCGTTGCTCTCGTTTAACATGTGCATGTGCTTTAAGAAAAGTGAGCTCCATTTTGAATAGAACAACCCTGTAGTAAACAGAAAATAATACCAGGCTGATGAAAGCACCATGGCAGCACAATGATGACAAATAGATCCACTGTCAGCCTTCATGCAAAAACTCAACCAAGCAAAAATTCTATCAGTACTGCCATTTTCATGACAAGAGAATGCATTGCTTCTTTATTTCTCACAAGCTCAAACGGTCCAATTGCGATGCTACCACAATACCTAACCCCCAATCTCCACCCCTAATCATTTATTCATGCGATATGAACTTTAATTCATTAATTAAAGTATATCAGGTACGGACTTGCACAACTGAGAAAAGAATCAGAAAACCAGAGCATTGGATGCAAAAGGAAACACAATCAGGAAACCAGAGCATTGGATGCAAAAGGAAACCCTTAGTAGTGCCAACGCACCCGCTTGATTACCCCTCGAAATGCTTAAAGAAATAATTGAATCGAATCAATCCGATGTTCCTAGCAAAATTAACACCAGTTCTGAACCAGTACAAAGCATTCATAGGGCTGTTAATCTTTCATGCAAGTAGGACCGGCCGATTCTCTAAAGCGCTGTTAATCTTGCAGGCAAGTAGGACCGGCCGATTCTCTAGCAATTAGTCCAACCCAGCACGAATAATAACACATCTAGGTTATCCACGCTACAGTATCCAATCGAACAATCGGTCCAACCCAACCCGAACAATAGCACCACACATGCATTCCTCTCCAGCCATAGTCGAATCGTATCACCCAGGGGGCAGATCGGGGCACGCGCACCCCGCGCAAGGTAGACCAAAGACCGGATCGGATCGGGAGATCCACGGCAGGAAAAAAAAAAAAGGTGGGGTAGGTTACTTTACCGACGACGCTCGATCCGGCGCCGGAGCTTCCCAGCGTCATCGCCGGTGGATGGATCGGCCGGGGTACGGGAGGGAGAGGGTTTGGGGGTTTCACCCTCGGGCAGGATGAAGAGGAAGGAAAAGCAGCGGCTGCGGCTGCGGGCTGCGGGCTGCGCACAAGCAAGGCTGGAGGGAGAGACCGAGAGGGCGACTTCGCTCTGATTCCTCTTATTGGGCTTTAGGCCGGTTGATACTGTTTTGCTGTCGACAGAAAAATACTGTATCAGGATAATGGCTGGCAAGCCAACAGGTGATTATCAAATCACGGACTGGAGACCGACCCGTCGAGCGGCACTCAGCGGCTGTTGTTGTCATTACATTTTTTTATTTATAATTCTTTTCTCACTCAAAGAATATATGCTATTTCAGCAATGAATAATTCGCCCCAGATGAAAAGCAGCTACTGATCAAATTCATGCTCCTCATCTCTTAGCTCTGTTTTTTTGCCTTCTATATGCTGAACATATATATCATCTGTGTTGACCGGCAAATATGACCAGGGAGTTGAAGATGAAACCAGAAAAACACATAGGGGCGTTCGGCTGGCCTGAAATTCAGCCGGAAAACACTATTTATGAATGAAAAACACTGTTCATTCTCTCACAAAATTTTCCAGATTCCTCCAAATTTCTCCAAGTGAACAGGGCTATACAAAGATCAAAAGTGGCTCATCTCACAATTTTTTGCACAAATAGAAGCCGGCTAAGATAGTTTTTGCACTTTTGTTAAAATTAGGAAATATGCCCATGCGTTGCGAGGGAAAATAAAATAAAATTCTCAGTGGGCCATATTAGAATGGGCTAGACGAAAAAAGTGACGGAAGTTTTGGCTCTTTTAACATTTTGTATAGATTAACAAGCATATCACAAAATAAAAAACTATAACTCAGTAACTATGCATCGATTGTACATGAAATTTTTACCATAGATTCTATACATCAATAGAAGATTACCATTAAAATTCACTGCAAACTTGTTGTGGAGCTGCTCCACAGTAGAGTTAGTGGAGCAGTCTCAAATACACCCTTAGTTTTGCTATTTTATGATTTATTTGTGATTTTACACATAATTTACAAATTTGTTGTTTTACCAAAAAAAGAGAAAAACAAAAGAAAAAAAAAGAAGCCCGCACTTGGGCCACGGCTTGGCCCAGTCCTCCAGCGCAAAAGGCCCATGCGACAGATTTCAATCCAGCAGCAGGAGGCCCAATGTGGGCTTCACTTTTACATCAGGAACCCTTCTCAAATTCAATTTAGATTCTCCCACCTTTTCTTTCTCTTCTGCACTTTTTCACGTGGAACCCTTCCTTCTCTTCTATATCTTTTTCTCATCCTCCCCCCAAACCACCGAACACAGGCACCTGATTTTGGGTCGTTCCCTGCCGGCGGCGGCCTAATCGACGACGAGGAGCCCCAACCACGTGCGCTTCTAGGGTGTCCCTATTGCAACCAGAGGTAGAAGGAGAACCGCCCGCCATGTGTACTCACGGCTATGCTAGCGGCGATGCGACAGATGCGGCCCTACGATGGTGCTTGGTCGGTCGAGCCGCCTAGGAAAAGGGAGCTCCGGACGCGCGCAGTCATGGGAGGGAAGGAGAGATGGTCGGCCGGTTGTGGCGGATGAGGAGCAAGCGAGTCGGGCAGCAGGCCACGGTAGCGTGCGGCCTTCCGAGGAGGAGGAGCGGGCTTGTTGCGGTAGGGCTGTAGAAGACGAATGGGGATGGAGCGAGTAGGCCGGCGGTTGGGCCAATTTTGCCTTTTATTGTTAGGTATAGATGCATAATGGACTCTATCATCGTGTTCCTCTCGTCGAGAGGATCGAAAACACATATGGATCTTCCAGTTTGTGGTTCGAATGAAGGAAATATGAATTTCTAGGGGTTGAATCATCAGGTTTCATAAGCTAGATTTTTTTACTTTTTCAAATTGAAGAATGGACTATATTGTTGCATTCCATTCGTCTAGCTGATAAAAAAACATATATAAATTGTCTAATTTGGAGTTTAGATGGAGAAATTACGGCTTTCGAAAGATTTTTTGCCTTGGACTCGCAAAAATTGTCTTAGCTTATTTTCCCGATCTGAGCCTAAATCATGATTTTCTTGTTGGAAACTCCTCTGATCTTGTCAGAAACTTACCAATTACGTGTGGAATAAGTTTTTGAATGGATTAAGATCACCCCTCTATTTATATGAGAGGATCAGGACCGATTATCGTAAAAAACACATATCTAACTTACTTTTTATCTTCAAACCCTAACTTTTTCGACCACTTGTTGTACAACATGTCTGTCAACAAGATTTGCCGATGTTCTAGGTGGTCTTCCTTAGAGGTATTCATGGGTTTTCGGATGAAGAACGAGCATCAACCGGCCTCGCCTTTGGGACCTTTTTCTCCTGTGTATTTAGGCCATGTGTAGCCTTAGGCGATCTAACCTCTACCAGTGTGTGACCCAAATCAGCGTCAACACACTTTCAGGCAACTTCATTGGGGACGAAGCAGAACAGATTTACTAAGGTCACTGATAGAGAGCCTTTGGTCGATCAACTTCCTGAGGAGGTTCACAAGATGCTAGAGGAGAGGGCAAAGGCATGAGTTGCTGCCGATTTGGAGTATGCCCTGACATGCTTCGAGATGGACGAGTAGGGAACTGTCTAGAAGATCAAAGATGTCAACTTCGATCCTCTTCCTACTACATCTACATCTGATGTAAAAATAGATCAATCTCTCTCTGGATCTAGTATTGCACACTATGAGTTTGCCAATATGATTCATGAGTTTTTTTTAAATCTTTATAATTTATAAATTTAACAAACTCATGGTGTTGGTGTTTTGTAAACCGGACTAATAAACTTATACGATTGCCACACTGCTTTAGAAAGACAATGGTAGCATCCAATAGACACGAGGATTTATATTGGTTTAGGTTGGAGCCCTACATCCAGTCTCAAAGATGATCGAGTGCATATTCCTCGCTTGAATACTTTGAAGTTCTTACAATGGGGGTGCAAAATGGTGAAAGAGATGGAATGACTTATACTAGGCGAAGGGCTGCCCGAAGAGAAGCTCTAAGAGCCCTACTACGATGAAGAATGAATGGAATGGTAGAGGATTCAGAATCATGCCCGAGATGGGTGCCCTAGCTGCCCTTATATAGAGTTTCGGGCCAGGGCTTGTACAAAGAGGAGGTTCTCCCGACCGAAGGGTCGAGAGCATGAGGGAGATCCTAGCTAACTTGGCTTGCAAGCTACGTTGTCTTCTAGTGCACGTCCGGTCATGGCTATCGTCATGGTCTTCTGGCTGCGTCGCGACAGGGTGTGGCGTGGCGCTACTATGCTGGCCATGGCGGCACTATAGCCTCGATGGTGGTTCGTTAGCCATCCTGTGCAACGCGGTGTCCGTCGTGGTCCTCGTCGTTGTCCCCCGGTTTCTTGGGGCACTGTACAAGAGTTGGTAGCCGCCCTTAGGTCATCGATCACCGGGTCGTTGCTGAGGAGCTGGGGGCCATGATCCCGATCGTTGGGGTCATGGCTCTCGTCGGCCCGGGTGGCCTTTAAGTCAAGGCCCCCATCATGGTTCCCATCCCATAGTGAGTGAGATCATTCATGCGTCTTGTCGGGTCGTATCTGGCCGGTGGTCATCGTGCCTGTCGTCACCGCCTCGGGGCGGTGTTATCTTGTCTGATCTTTTGTGGCGCAGGGCTGGCATCTGACCGGACCGAGGTAACTGATGTCCCCTTGGTCCTTGTGGGGTCGGTGTGGCATGCTTGCTCTTGTCAAAGCAGGCGCGTCTTACTGCGCTTGACCTCCCCCCATCCCTTTTAGGGGTCACGACGGGGGTGAGGTCATGCGCCTTCCGTGTACCGTGTGGCTAAGGTAGGTGGAAGAGGTCGGGATGACCCCAACCTTGGTGCCTGGCCTGCTCCGCACGGCTTTCGCTGGGCCTCGGTCGTTTGGGCCTTTTTCAGCCATTATGTTGCTGGCCACGTGGCCTACTAACTAATCAGTACCTTAAGACACCCCGGGGTTACAACCCCGACACATGGATAGCTATAAGAAAAGGGAGGAAAAGAAATCTGAATTTTATGTGTTTTTCTCATGATGCTTTTGTTAGCAGATCGGTCTTGGTTGCTGGTCAATCTCAATATGGGATGTCATTTAGCTTTTGCGAGAGACAGACAAGCTATGCATCGGCTAGCCAACCCAAATTGGTATATTTGGCGTCTAGAAGCGATGGAGCTAATTTAGGAGGGTTTGGTATAATTTTACCAATGGCTACCTTTGCGCATCTGTCAGTTTCTACCACACAAGCCAATAGGTACATATATAGTGTATACTAACCAATATGTGATATTAATAATAATGGAAACAAATTAAACCTGTCTTCAGCCCTTTGGTTGTTTAGAAATCTCTACCGGTTTCCCAATAATATATTCCGAATATGTATGTATTGGGGGTAATTCAATATTTTTTATGAATATTTGGAGAGTTGCTGCAAAAGTAGCCATAGAGAGAGCTGCTTTTTTAGGGGAGATGGAGAGAACTGTTGAAAATGCTCTTAGAGCATCTACAGCAATGCTACCTAAAACACCCCCTACTTCTCTGTTTAGGTAGCTACCAATTTTCATACTACTCATATTTTCTAGTTTACTTCAGCAACACTACCTAAAATAGATCCCCAAATCCATCCTTGCAGAGGATGACTTGTGGGACCGACCTGTCATCCTCTTCCCTATCTCATGGCCGAACTCGGCCATCCTCGTCGGTCGCATCCCGGGGAAGGGGAGCCGCTAGGAAGCTATGAATCTCCAATCGGTAGCGGCCAGGACTGGGGAAGCCACGCTAGGCAAAGCACCTGGCATTGGGCATTGCTGCCACGCCGGCATTTGCCATGGCTACCATCAAGGCAAGCAAGCCACATCGGGAGGGGCCATCATTGAGCTTAGCTGCCTGGGGGGGAGCCACGCGTTGGGTAGCCGTGTCTTGGAGGGGAGCCACCACAGCGTCGGGCTTAGCGTGACGTCGTCAGCTCTCGCCATGCCTAGGATGGCCGGAGCGAACACCGGGTCAGGGGCGGAGGCGTGCAAGGATCAGGGGTGGCGCCGATGGAAGCCGTGGTTGAGGTCGCTCGAGTTGAGCATAGGGAGGAAAAAGTCCAATCCATATTTTGCATGGTGGAGTAGGTGCCCTCAGGAATAGAGGGTGGAGGGGGAGAATTATTTTTATTTTTAACACTTTTTGTAACCTAATTTTAAATCTAACACTGTTTATTTTTTTTCAAAACTAACACTTTTGGCTACGCCTATTGCCATGGCGTGGCGAAATGCCTGTGCCGCGCCATGCATGGTGGCACGGCGAGAGGGGTGACGTGGCGACGACCGGGGCGCTGATCGGTGACGTGGCAGGGTCTGCCGCGCCACTGATCTTGGCGCGGCACTGACACGCCATAGCCCACGGCACGGCAGGCCCAGGTAAATATCACCCGTGAGCCGCCGCCTCCCTCTCCTCCTTGCCGCCGCCTCGCCGCCGCTCACTCGCCTTTGCAACCGCCTTGCCAATCACCAGCCCGCATCGCGTCGCCCGCCGCGCCAACACTTACCGGCCGCACGTGCTGCCCATCAAGCGCCTCAAGACGCCCACGACGATTTATGACGCCCCACGACGACCATGACGACGCACGCACCCGGCAATGGTAAGATTGATTAAAGTCCTAATTAAGTGCTAATTTCAATTTAGGTGTTCCTGTAATTAGGTTAATTAAGATCTTGTCTAAGTATAAGTTCTAACAATTGATATCCAAGAAGCCGCTTAGCCTAATTCTTGAACCCTATGACCTAATTAGTGTTTGCTTAAGATCTAAATAGCCTCGGATTTGTCTGATTCAAAGTTCTTTAAGCCAAATCAGAATATAGGGTTTCGCTTAAGCACCGAGAAGGAGGGGAGTCGAATCAACTTCAACATTAAGCCCTAGTTTTTGCCCAAATCCGAACCCTAGGAATGCAAATTACCCAATCCGGTAACAATCCCCAACCCTAAGATCAGTAAGATGCTTTTCACTTACCTTAAGAACTAAGATGGTGCCGTCGGGCTCCTTCACGAGTTCGCCGGTGGCCAAAAAAGGGAGCCACGCCGCCGCCCTGCTATGTGCGCGCGTGGTCACCGCGCCACGGACGCCCGCAGGCATAGAAGACGAGGGCAGCAGGTCCATACATAGAAGTTGCTTATTTTCCTAGTGAAGTTATTTAATATGTCTGTTAATGTTACTTTGAATATATACATGTGCTTTCATATTGTGTTCGTATTGCATAACAAGTAGTTCAAAATTTGCAATGCTACGTAATGTTAATTTGAATATTATTAATTTGAATACTCTAACCCTTTGTTTCTCAATTTGTAACAGGATGGCCCCTCCCATGCAACACCAGTTGTACCTCCTTCTTGAGGTGGAGTACGACGAGCCGCACCGAGCACACTTCTTGACTGACACCAACGCAGAGGTGTCCTTGCCTCCTTTGAGGCCCCGCACGCACACCAGGGCGCACCAGTGGGACGAGCATTACGCGCCGTACATATGGCATGCCGGCTTCCTCGAGCTTGTCCGTGTTGTCAACTACGGTCTTCCGCTCCTTGACCCAGCACTACTTACTGCAGCTGTAGACATGTGCGAGTGCCTTCATTGTACGTAAACATTCTTATAACAAATTTGAGGTAACTAACAACCGTTCTATTCTTATAACAGGTGGAGGCCTGAGACCAATACGTTCCACCTACCTTGCGGCGAGATGACTTTGACCATGCAGGACATGAATGCTATCTTTGGCCTTCGGTTGGGGAGACTTCCAATGACAGGTATAGTTGACAACAATCACTGGAGGGAGCCGGTGGCTCAGTTCACTGGCTTTCTTCCACTGGACGATGAGGTTTCCAAGAAAAATAAGTGATCAATTCAAGCCTTTTTAATACTTGCATTGCTTTCTTACAGCCATCGGGTCTCATTTTTTTGGGTGAATTTTAGGAAAAGTTTCGGTGTTTCATCGTCGTGGATCACAGAGCGCTTTGATTACTTGGACCCATAGGTTGATGAGGCTCAGATCGACAGGTTTGCTAGAGTGTGGTTCTGATACTTCCTTGGTGCTTTCCTATTACCCGGCGTGGTCGGGTGGCACGTCTTCTGGCTCTTTGAGGACACCTGTCGGCTCTTCTCAGCCGGTGACAGATGCCGCTTCAGCAGTGCGTACACCACCACATCATAGCGTTGGAAAGGACCCTACAAACGAGGACGACGAGGACGACGACGACGATGACCCCCCGAGCTTCCGCATACAGCACCACTAGTGGGACGATTGACAGCAGGACGAGATCGGCATGTCTCAGCTAGGTGATGCCCCGCTTGGTACCCAAAGAGCCACACAGGTAGTAACAAAGATAGTTTCTTTAAATACGTAAGCTCCATGAACTAACGATCATAAAGATTATAAGTAATCGTGCATATCATATACTTGCAGGGTATGAGGGTACGAGCCGTACGTACCGGCAACGCAACCACACCGACGTTGGCTACATTCCGAATGTGTTGCCTACAAATTCGAAGAGACAGAGGCGTCCGAGGGATCCTTACACTCCTGGGAATTAGTTGGTTATGTCGAACTTATGTCGAACAAATATTGTCGTCCGAAACTTGTAGACTCATGAACCAATGAAAATGTTATGTGGTAACTTGTCAACTTGCGTACGGACTCTATTTATTTGCTTCATATTCATTTCAATGCGTCGCGACAGCACTACCGACGAGATTAATTAGCAACTAGTTCGGGAACCGGTAGTCCCGGCGTATCTCGCCGCCGGTGGCCGGCGTCTTGATCCCGATCCTCCCGAGCTTGGTCATCGCCGCCACGAAATCACCGAAGAAGGCACCCTGGTTGGACACGTAGTAGTCGACCGTGCTGCACAACCTCATGTCGGAGTAGAGCACCTGGTCGGAGCCTAGGAGGCCCTTGCCGACCTGCAGGTTCCGATAGAAGGCGTTGTCGAAGCCCACCAATGAGGGGTCGAGGAAGGCGAAGGCGTTGGGGTCAGAGCTGCAGGTGCAGTTCAGCTGCAATGTGAAGCCGGAGTCCATGGTCGCGTCGCTGCCGATCCTCACCAACAGCAGCTCTCGTTCAATTGCAATAGAGGCTGGTCTTCTGTCTGCGTCCATGTCCTGCCACGTCGTGGGCCTTGGCGCGTCAGTGCTGCGCCGTGGTCTATGGCGCGACAGACCCTGCCACGTCATCGGTTAGCGTCTCGGTCGTCGTCACGTCACCCCTCTCGCCGCGTCACCATGCATGACGCGACACAGGCGTTTCGCCGCACCATGGCAATAGGCGCGGCCAAAAGTGTTAATTTTGAAAAAAAAATAAACAGTGTTAGATTTAAAATTAGTTTATAAAAAATGTTAAAAATAAAAAAAATGGAGGAAGAAAAATAGGGAGCCAACAAAAATAAGGGTGCAGTAGACGGTGTGCTGGAACTATTTTTTTTTACCCCACTACTCAAATCTAAAATAGGAGGTCAAGCTGGGAGCATTGCTGGAGCTCTTAGCAGGTAACTCCACCTCCACCTAGCCCATTAGGCGGCCCAACCAGCCAAGCCCTTGTTCTGGCCCTCGCCTCCCCATCAGGGCCCCCACGGACGGCTCAACTCTCATCCTCACTAAGGCAGCGGACAAACCGCACAGGCTCCCGCCGCAGGAGCACAGTCTCGTCCCCTTCCGCTCGGCTGCCCCCGTTCAAAACCCTAGGCGCAAGACGCGACGGTGGCGGCGGCCGGTGGGGCAAGCACGACACCGAGTGGCTTGCGCAGCGCAGGCGCGCGGGCTTGGCTTTGGCGGTTCGCGGCGACTCAGCGTCGCGGAGGGCCGCGTGGCACGGGCACGGCGGGCGCCGGTTGTGGGTTCGTCGTTCCCTTCCTTATCTCCTTCCCTCGCTCAATCGAACAAGCAAAAGCAAGGGGCCAAGGGCAGAGCTCAACGCTGAACCGATCCCTCAAATCGTCCTGCCCTCGATTTGAGGTCGTTCAGGTAAGGTGAGGTTCTATTTTCCCCGTTTGCTTGGCTGCTTTTTTTTAGTTTGGTGATTGCCGAGCGCGTTGTGAGGAGCTGATGCGGAGCTCTTGATACCTTCTTGCAGCTAAGGTGTCGCAGCTGCCACCGCGGCCCCGACGGACGCCCGTTCAAGCGTGATAACACCTGACGAAACCGATTGCCCAGGCCTACAGATAGGAGAGCGTCAGAGAGATGGGGCGGCCTTACGGGGTGAAGGGACGGAAGAAGAAGCGCAAGCTCGAGGAGGCGGCGACCTCTGATGCTGCCCTGCCCGCTGAAGAGGTGGAGGAGCTGCCACCGCCAGAGGAGGCCGGTGGCGAGAAGAAGGGAAACGAGGAGGAGGAGGAGGCAGCGGCTGGGGAGGAGGGGCATGCTGCGGTGGACGGGCTCCCAATCGTACCCAGAATGGTTGATGGGAAGCGACGGCCTGGCGCCATCTTCGTGCTCGAGAGGGCCTGCCTCGAGGTCGGCAAAGTCGGCAAGGTACAGTGGCTCGGCTGCGTCAACCATCAATAAATTCCTTTTTTTTTTTCTTGTGCTATTCCTGTTCCAGAACAAATTCAATTCTGGCTTCTTTGGATGCTCATTTCGAGTTCAATCCTGCCCTTAGCTTGGAGGGATTTGTACAAGTGATTTATTTATCGAGGTGGTTCTACTGTTATTAGTAGGAAAAAGGGCAAAAACGTAGTAATTTTCACCTTATCATGAAACTGAAATGTGCACCTTGCTGTGACAACTTCGCAGAATGTGGAAATTGATGAAAGAAATCAAGGATGCTAGAATATCATTGGTTAGTATATTTAGTGTATACCTTGTACCAGGAATGCTCAGTATCTATGTGATTATGCAAGAATAGATAATTTTATCGTTGGCTTGGAGTGGACCCTGTTGAGATATTGGTGACATCTTGTACGTGTATTGTCATAAGTTTAATTTGTACAGGACCAATTGTTTTCATATGCTTGCATGGCACATATGTGAATAACTAAAAGCTCTTAAACAAAAATGTAATTTGACTTGTAAGATTCTCATAGAATAGATTGGAAATATTGTTGATAAAACGCAAACACTCCCCAAGGCTTCTTCAAGATAAAAGAAACATGGAAACAGCAAGACCTTATGCTCTTACATTCCATGTTTTTTAGAATGTATCAAGTCAAACTTACAGCAAAAAATAAATTAGCCAGCAAAGTTGCACAGTAGAGACTGCCTAACACCTAAAAAACAGTACTTCCCAAATGTCAAAATATAGTGTACTTTGACCATCAATTATTAAAAATATATGTATGTTCAGTGCACAAAAGATGCATCAATAGATTCTTATTTCACAAATGTTGTAATGAACATTGGCTTTGTAGTAATTGATACATATTGTAAGCAAGATAAGATAATGGTCAAAGTATATCTTGGAAGAGTTTATGGAGTACTTAATTAACAACATTAGTATAAAAAAGTTATACTTCTGTACCATTGTTGATGAACATGCCAGTGAATCCTTGGGGTCAATATTGACTGTCCTGTTAAACGAATCAACATGGCATGTACTGCTTGGGGCATTAGTAAATGGTGGCTTGTACTTGCTGTTATCGGTGTCTCTACGCACTGCTGAATATTTTATCTCTTCATCGTGGTCCAAGTCATCACCCAGGAATAAGCCTCTGCATATGAGGCCTGTCATTTTCATTCTTCAGTTTATGGCTATAGCCTATGCAGATCTTTTCCCAGCAAAAGGTTGTTGCTTGCACATCTTGAATTCCAGTGTTAAGTAGATGTTTTTTAATATTATATAGAAGTGTCAACTAGAATACTATTCACTTTAGAGTAGACTTGGTGTGGTCTATTGTTTAGAGATTCTTCTATCTTTCTTGTAAAAGGGCATATTTATACTTTCCTAATTTGCTATCCTTTACCATTGCTAGTATATCCATTTTTAATCATTTAAATGGTTCAGTTTTATTGCAGAAAAAAAATCTAGCATAACATCTGGGATGCTCTCTTTTGAAACAAACGGTTATCACCTTATGGATATTAGTTTGACTGTTTCTTTTACCATTCTGTGCAGACTATGCAAATCTTGAACTCAGATGATCATGCAAATTATTTGAGGAAGCAGAATCGCAATCCTGCAGACTATAGACCTGATATAATTCATCAGGTAATGTAAATTTCTTGTTGCCTTAAAATATTGAAAATACTGGAAGATGAATAAAAAACACTCCTCTTTTTATTTGAATTTGATTCTCAATTATTTGCTTCAAGTAAATGGGAATCAAGCATTTATTCTATACCCAATTATCAAGTGCTTTCTTTTAGTAGTTCCATTTTTCAATTGATCACCCCTGCATCCTGTGCTATTTCTTAAAGAAAACATCAGTGACCTAGTAAAAAATAGTTGATTGGGCCTACCAACAATAACTCAGCTCATTCCTTTCTGACAGACATCCTTTCCAACTTGTTGTTAATGAGTTTGTCTCAAAAATGTTTTGCAGGCTCTACTAGCAATATTTGATAGCCCTCTGACTAAGGCTGGAAGGTTACAGGCTGTTTATGTGAGGACTGAAAAGGGTGTATTGTTTGAAATCAAACCTCATGTCCGCATGCCAAGAACGTTTAAACGTTTCTGTGGTTTAATGTGTAAGTTACTAATAAAACTCTTATACCTTCTGTTTCTTATGTGTTTCTGTTATTTTAATAATTGCACTGATTGCAAGTACTATATAATATGGCAGCACAGTTGTTACAAAAACTGAGCATTACGGCAGTTGGGAAGCGTGAGAAGCTTCTTAATGTTGTTAAAAATCCTGTTACCCGCTATCTACCTGTTGGTGCACGAAAGATTGGTGAGAGTCTATTGTTTAATATGACATATTTCATATCCGGTAGATATGCTAATTGATACATTTTTTATACTTATTAGGTCTTTCATTTAGTGCTGAGAAGTCAGTCAACTTGTTTGACTATGTTGCCAAATCCAGTGATGATGAACCCCTTGTGTTTGTGGTGAGTAACTGTGCTTGTAAGCTGGGCTATTTTGATCCCTTATTAATGCTTGTACGTAATCCCATACTGTCTGCACATTATCTCCAGGTTGGTGCCATGGCCCATGGAAAGATTGACAAGGAATACACAGATGATTACATACAAAGTAAGTAACATTTAGTTGATATGATGAAAAAAAAGTTATGCTGAAAAATTAGATCAGGGTGACATTTTATTTTCTTCCATTAACCGTGGTTTAGTTGTTAATTAGTGCCCACATGCTCATGTAGCAAATGGCCTTAACTTGGTAGCAACTTGGGCATGGCCAGTTTGGATCAAAATATCATCCTGCTTCTCACTAGATTGACTTGCTGGTGTTGACATCTTATTTAGAGAATGATAAACTTGCAAATATAAATGTCCAAAATTATATACTTTGATGATTACATTGCTTGGACAAAGGGACAGATTTTGTGAAGACTGCAATGTCTGCATATTATTTATTTATCTGTATCTGTTTTCCTTTCAACCATAGTGACCACTTCCCCGTTTGTGCAGTTTGCAACTACCCTCTCAGTGCCGCCTGCTGTTTAAATCGGATATGCAGTGCCCTGGAGCAAAAGTGGAACATCCAGTGAGGATCTTTTGAAACAAGCATCGGAATCATGTTTTTTTGTTACATACAATTAGCTAGTAGCATTGCATGATTCTCCATATTTCATGTACTGCCTTCTTTTTATCTACAACACCTCAAGCTTTGACTGCTTAAATTTTGAACCAAATGTTTCAGTGTAGCATTATGTGGTGTTTTAAACATCAACGCCGGTGCTTATGATTCATGGCCCTAAACGGTTGTTCAAGTCATTTTGGCAAAAAAACCGAGTGTTGTGCGTAAAGACACCAAACTTGGTTTAACTCGCACATCGCTGTCAGATCTTTATATCTCTTTGTTTGGGTACAACTTGAACGCACATAATCCACATATTTACACTACATGTATACACGCTTGTGTGTCCGTACATACTCAAAGAAGGGGTTGGGAGGTATGTCGTCTCGGGGAACGCGCAGTACCACCGAACGCCCACACATACGTGTACTTTAAAATTTTTGGAAAATTTTCTAAAAAAAAGATGCAATCACAGGCCCATTCGCAGATCTTTATATCTGGTCATGTAGTATATCGCAACAATGTTAAAAAGCAGGTCTGTTCATTTTATTTTTCTTTGTGCTCCCTGCCATTGGCTGTTTCTAGTTGTGGTTTCTCTGCAATGCACAGCAAAAACTGCGGTTTTGTGGATCACGAGTTGTGGTATTTTTGTCTGCCATGGAAGAATTTGTGAATTTTTGTTAACAGTGTTGTGAAAATGCTGCACGATATCCCTACACAAGACCTAGGATGCTAGTCCAGTTGGTTAGCAGTTCCGGAGGCACCCCTCAGGTCCTGAGTTCGAACAAAATAGAATTTGGTTTTGAAAACAAAATAGAAAAGGATTTGGAAAATGGAAAATCCTTTCCTCACTCAATCTAGCCCGCTACCTACTCCCTCTTTTTGGCCCGAAGGCCTAGTCCTCCGCTCTCCCTCTTCCCGCGCCTCCGCTCATGGGCCGGCCCAGTAGGCCACGTCGCCCGCGCCTCCTCTCTCCCGCACCTGGAGTCACTGCCACCCTAGGCCCACACGTCAGTGCTCTCTTCTACCTCACATCGCCGACCCGGAGTCTGCACCGCCGCCGGATTCCGCCGCCGCCACGATTCCTCGCCTTGGTGTGCACCCCAAGCTTTTTCCCCTCATAAAAGCCGAGCGTCCGTGCATGCCGTCCCCATCCTAAACCCTAGCTCGAGTTGCCTCACGTCTAGAGCTGCAGCGTCACCGCGGAACCCTAGCCACCGTGCTCGCCGATGCCTCACCGTGCTGCCCGACGTCATAGCCTCGCCGACGACCGCAAGAAAGTCACGTGAGTGAGTTCGTCGTGCTGCCCTCGTTCTCCCGATGTTTTTCTTGTTTCGAACCGTGGCTCGTAGGCCGTTTTCTGTGTTCTCCGACGAGCTCCGCGTCGTCAGCCATGGAAGCCACCGCGCCGGAGGAATCCTCCCAACCCTCGGTAGCCGTTCGATCTGGGTGGAACGATCAGGATTAGAACATACCCCTTCGCACTTTAACCGGTCCACCACAACAATAGTAGACTAGGTCCACTAGCACAGTTTCCTCTCGGGTCCATAGCCGGTTCACAGCCTCCACCCAACCGGTTTACGCCACGTCGTCCGCTGACCTGGTTGCCTCCGACTCACCGCCGCACTTTTGCGCTTAGCCCCCTGCAGTTTCACGTAATCAACCCGCCGTCCTGAGTAGTTCAAAAGTAATTAAAACTATGCCCCTAGTTTTTATGTTTTGACCCCTGTGTTTTTCCAAAAACGACACTCGGTCCACAGGACTGTTTTAATTCAGGTTTTAATTATTTTTAATACGAAATTGATTTCAAAATATTTACAAAAATGCCATTGATCTTATTTTATGCGTAGTTTCTCCGTTTTAACTCCGATTTGACCCATTCAAGTTGCGTTAGATTCATATTTTCATAATCTATGTATTAGTAACATGTAAGCCACTGTTTTCAGAAATAAAATTTGATCATTTTGTTCTTAACTTCGAATAGTTATAATTTGATCCCCGTAACTCCGATTAGTGTGATCTTCGTGTCTATGCGATCGTAGTGATGCGTAGAATCGTGTTTCAAACTCTTCAACTTCTGTTTCATTGATTGGTGTACTGTTCTAATATAGATGTAATTGTATGCTATGCATGTATGTGTATAGATGTTTGTGTGGTGTTCTACGATTACGTCCAGTCGGTGAGATATACGTGGCGATCAAGAAGAAGAAGAAGAAGGACATTGAAGATTAAAGCTTACCGAAGGATCGTTGTTTTAAGGCAAGTATAGCATGTGATCTTCCTTGTTGTCCTATACACCTTTAATCATTTAATTCATACTGCATGTGTCTACCTTAACTACCACCAAGGATTTTCTAATACTTTTTTACCCTGTACCTTGATATCTTTGGGGTATTGCGTTGGGTAGTATGATGCTAGTGCTCAACTGAAGCCATGATCTTGTAACTTGACTAATGGTATATGCAATAAACACTAAAAGATGCTTTTTAGCAACATGGAACAAGGGGGCTAAAGCATTGGGCTATTTTTATGGTGCTTTAGATTCTTCTCCCTAAGGACTTATCTGTAAGCGAACATCTAGAACTTACAGTATAACTGAGAGGGCTACATGGCTCTGGCTTTAGTTCAGTATGAGGACCTTTTCTAGCTTGTTAAAGGTTACCTTTATGGTGTAAGAATGGCTTGACAAATCGGGTATAGGTCAGCCTCTACTCTTTTGTGTATAGCCATGATGGAATTGTGCCATTCGACAGGGGGTTCCTATATCTGTTTGCCGAGTGAATCTAATGGCCCTAACTTGTTAGACGAACCTTTGAAATGCTTCATAGTGAACCCTATCGACCTTCCTTAGTAGTGGGTCAAGAGGCTGATCACCTCGGGTGAAAGGGTAAATCACGACTCACAGTGAAAGTGTACAACATCTGTAGAGTGTAAAACTGGCATATCAGCCGTGCTCACGATCACGAGCGGCCTTAGACCCTTACGGAATAGATGATGAACAATGATGATACTAATGATAAAGATGCTCACTAATGATTACTTTTTATGCTATTCATTATTCATATTTACCTGATCATGTGTTTATATGGGCTTATGAATAAACTTGTTGCCACCCAATTGCTAAAAGATGACTCATTAAAAGCTAATCGCAGTTAAACCAGTGTCAGCCTTTTGAGCCTCATGAACCCCATGATATATTTATTGAGTACGACATGTACTTACGCTTGCTTTACTTTTTAAATCTTTGAAAAAATCCCAGATGGGTACCAGATTGCTAGAGTTTGGAGAAATTAGGCTTGTGATCAACCAGTCAGTTGTCCCTGTGGAATTAGAGTCTTTACCCAAGGATTAGAGTTGTCTTTCCGCTGTTTGCTGTCTAAGGTTATATCCTTAGTACTAAGTACGCTATATATTGAGCATTGTCTTTCGATATTACCCTTATTTGTAGCTATATGTGAGATTTGACTTCCTGGGCTCACATATGGTGCGTATCTGGTTTTGTTCTTAAAATTGGGTGCTACACACACAACTATTCGACCTTCATCTAGGATCATTGTACGATAGGTTACACATTATGAGTCACACCAAGTTCACATCACATTTGAAAGAAAGTACTTAAGTTTACAACAAGTTGTTCAATGCTTAATCATAAACCATACATTAAGAGTCTAGCGGAATTATTAACACAACACAACATAGTTTTTGATACATGTTCATGGATGTGCCAGTCCCATGAACCTACACCATGTAGGGCAATTGTCTACCACTCCTGTTTCTACTGAGGACTTGGGGCGTAGAAAAAGCCATATGCTAGGGCTACCTTACCTGAAAAACTCAACAAGCAGATGCATGAATACATGATTGTACTCAATAGGACTTACCCATATAGTAATAAGGATTGTGCAATTAAGCAGTAGCAAGGAATGTAGTTGGGTTTGCATAAAGACATTTCATCCATGAAGTAAAGTTGTCTGTTCAACTAAGAAAGCATAGCATGGTTTGACATGTTCAAGCAATTAGCTAGGTGGAGCTTGATATTCCATGAGTCCTTCCGATCATCACTAGTTCAAATCTAGAAGAATAGAACAAACATAAATTCAAACTCTACAAAGGGGTACACATTAACCCCACCAAAGACAACGGTCACAACCTATACGACTCGTCAGTACATAAGGAATAACTCATACCTCAACCTTTCCCAAGTTTGACCAAAGCGCCTATGAACGGTTAGAGCATGAGCCGAGGTACTAGCTGTCACGGGGTCGGAACCACGGCAAGCATTGTTGTTCGAGCTGGTGTTAGAGTATGTGTCTCCGGTGGCTCAGGTGGACTCAAGAACACAAGAATCATAGAGGGGACACAACGGTTTATCCTGGTTCAGGCCGAACGATGCCCTACGTCTAGTAGCTGATGATCCTTATACTCAAGAGCACCCAAAATCGGGTGGGGGGTTACAACTGAGTGTACTGGAGAAAGAGAGAGATTTGGTAGGGTGTTAGCTCGGTGCTAATCCTAAGGTTGCCTCACCACTGGTGGAGCCTTCCCCTCGTCGGAGAGGAGGAAGATGACGGGTGCGGTGGAGGAGCTCTCGATGCCCCTCTCTAGGTTGCTCTGCTCTCGGTGCCGAGCAGGAGCGGATCGGTGAGGAACAAAATGATCTGTCTTGGATTGTCCTCCTTACCCCCTCTGGGTTCTGACCCATCCATTATATACCGAGATAGGTTGGGTACATGGAGGTTTGGGGGGAATGAGCCTATGGTCTACATGCGCCGGAGTCTAGGAGGGTCTTGCAGCGGTGATCTGTGGACCATGGCGATGTCGTGGAGCCGAAGAAGCTCTGGGCGTCGTCCAGCTGCTCTGTCCTGATACACTGAGTGTCAGGTTGTGTTGGCTTTGACCGGCCTCCCCTAGGTGTGCCTTCTAGAGACTTCTTGGTGGCAAAGGAGGCCGGCTCGAGGGGCTTGTCTTCTTGTGTCATTCTCTATGCGTGACCCTATCGGATGAGTGGTTGATAGCGCTACGCTCGCATGGCGGCGCCTGGGAGCCCCCGAGCCCTAGTGGCTCGGGGCATGTCTTCTTGTGCCCAGGCCTTGGCTGGCACCTAAGGCTAGGGGAGGCCAAGGATCGGGTCTAGGCTTCTATCGATTGGGAGCCTCAGGCTCGGCGAGCCCCCGAGCGCAT